AATAATGTATTATTTATAACTATTTATTGAAACAAAATATGCATATAAAATATATAAAACTGTAAAAAAATGTATTAATATATATATACAGGGTCTACCAAAAGTGTGGAAACCTCTAAATATCTCGGAAAATATACGTTTTACAGAAAAGTGTTTCCAACAAAAGTTGTAGGGTTTAAGAAGATCTATATACTGATTCTATCAGTTTGACCTTGGATGGTGTCGTCAAGGTCAGGTCAAGGTCACATTGACTTTTTTAAATGACACCCCCTACATTTGATTGCATATTCTTATAGCTTAATTCAAGAGCTTTCCAAAACACTATAATAATGTTCATTTTTATTAAGTACTTTGCGAGTTATGAGGGTTGAATGATAGAGTAGCGCCGGTATTAACATTATCCAAGGTGTACTACATGGAGGTTACTCGCTCGGATTTGCATCTGTTGTGTGTGTGATCCAGCTAACTAAGGCAAGATCGGTCGTGGATCCAGTCAGCAAAAGCAAAGACCCAACCAAATTACAATCGAGCATTTAAAGACCTGGAAAGCAATCGACATAGTAAACAGTAAATAAATTTGTGGATGCTCATTTATCATAATAATTGTTCGAAATGTGTGCGTGTGCGTGCGTGCGGTGCGTGTATACAGAGATCAGGTTAGGTTGCACCAAACGATTGCAAATGTGTTTCAATGTGTTAAAGTAAATGCTGAAAGTGGCTGCCATTTACTTCCTGACAATATGCTAATCTTTGGTAGAATGTAGAAATGACTTTACGATTCGTTTCAAAAGGTATCAAAGCCATTTCATCCCTTATTCGCTGTATCAATTCGTGAATGGTTTTAGGTTTTGTTCTGTAAACCTTACTCTTCAGATATCCCCATAGATAATAATCAAGAGGAGTTAGATCTGGTGACCGAGGTGGCCAATCCTCTCCTCCCTCATTTCCGTTCCTTCTTCCTATCCACCGTAGCGGAAAAGTCTCATTTAAAATACGACGTGGTCCTGCACCAAAATGAGCAGGAGCTCCATCATGCTGAAACCATATTTCTTGGAAATTATTTGGAAAAGTATTCTGTATGGCTGGAATTATTTGATCAACAAGTAATCTCTCATACCTTTGAGCGTTCAAATATTCTTCAAAAAAAAACGGCCCTATTAAATAGCCATCTATTATTCCGCACCATACATTTATTTTTTGTGGATGTTGTGTGTGAGTTTCCCGCACCCAATTCGGATTCTCATCTGACCAGAAACGAAAATTTTGATTATTAACTTCTCCCGTTAAGGTAAAAGTTGCCTCGTCTGTGAAAACAATTTGATAAGGGAAGATGGGCCGGACATCTATTAGTGCCATCATTCTTTCACAGAAATGTATACGACGCTCCTCATCTCCGTTTTGCAATTCTTGAACGTATTGCAATTTATATGGATGGAACTTGTTCTTCTTTAAAATTCTCCAAACCGACATGGGAGCAATATCGTGAGTTTGAGCGACTCTCTGAACACTAGAATTGGGATCTTCAATAAATGTCTGCAGAACATCAAGTTGTTTTTCTTCGTTGGTTGCAGACAATGGTCTTCCTGACTTAGAGCGATTTCTTACGCTACCAGTTTGTCTAAAACGTTCTATTGTTTTTAACACAGTGGACTTATTAATTCGACGGTTCGGATACGTGTCATTAAATAATCGAACGACATCAGAGAACGATCTTTCGTTATCACCCCATCCACGCATCATGAGGATAGTGATTCTTTCACGTTCCGACAAGTCGCCAGCCATTTTTAAAACGTTTAATTTTAATTAATCGTACGTTGTATTTGGACGATAACAATTAATTTCTGCTTGCTCAAAGCTGAAGTTAGAAGGTGCTCGTTCTTTGATAGCTTTATACATTCTTAGTTGAATTTTAAATGCGAGTTAGACTGCATGTAGTGCGTCACATAGCGGTAAATGAAGGAACTAACGAGACGTTTCATACACGTTTTATGGAGCAATTTTTTGGCAATTTGACTTCAGCGAAATATGAGGATATGTTGAGGAATCGATCTTGCCTTAGTTAGCTGGATCACACACACAACAGATGCAAATCCGAGCGAGTAACCTCCATGTAGTACACCTTGGATAATGTTAATACCGGCGCTACTCTATCATTCAACCCTCATAACTCGCAAAGTACTTAATAAAAATGAACATTATTATAGTGTTTTGGAAAGCTCTTGAATTAAGCTATAAGAATATGCAATCAAATGTAGGGGGTGTCATTTAAAAAAGTCAATGTGACCTTGACCTGACCTTGACGACGCCATCCAAGGTCAAACTGATAGAATCAGTATATAGATCTTCCTAAACCCTACAACTTTTGTTGGAAACACTTTTCTGTAAAACGTATATTTTCCGAGATATTTAGGGGTTTCCACACTTTTGGTAGACCCTGTATATATATATATATATATATATATATATATATGTAAAATGTATAAAATATATGGCGTATTGTTGCGTGTTCGTTTATTCTTAGCCGGAGAAATATAGAATACTGGCCGCAAGGTTGATTGTGGTGACGAGGAATACGCTTGAATCAGTTATATTCGCAGTATGGTTATCTATGTACAGTTTATTTTACACGTTTCTTATTTACATGACCCTGAAAAGGGCCGTTGATATGCAAACGCTCCCGATAGGATATCCGCAGAGTCGCCTTCGTGTACAGGAGTGGTCCCCAAGAGCTATCGTCGTTGTTGTTGGCGTCCACTTTTGGTTTGCTGCTCTTTGCTGCTTCCGTTTGCGTGACCACTGTGCTCGTGGGCGTCTCCCAGTCGGAGTCGGATTGGGTCTCCTGATCCATCGTTGTTGTTGGCAGCTGCGTCACCTGGACTCCTCGATGGGTCCGGCTAACTGCGATGGTTTGTGTCCCCTGCGACGTCCGGTTGATTGGAGATGGAGGCAGAGAAGACAATGCCGCTGGAACTGTCCAGGATCCGGGTGGCGATGTATATCGTCTTATCCTGATGTCCCACGTTGTCAAGAGCTCCCTTGGTGGCCGAGTAAAGCGAGGTGGCTCCAGGTCGATCGGCTGCAGCGTCCAAAGTAGCAAGGTGAAAGACACTCTCCTCTCCGGCTCGGCAGCTGCACTGTACGACGGTCGAAGTGGCCCGGATGATCGGGGCGTCGACGCTGGTCGAGGAATGCGGTTCAGTTGGCGGCGAATGTTTTCGGAAGTTCAACTTCCGAGTCAAAAAGAGGAGTACTCAAGTTGATGGTCGTATAGTAAAATGAATCCTATAGATTGGTCGAGCTGAGACTCGATTTTGGCCGCGGTCGGCCTTATATATGAGTCTTGCTGGATTTCACTTGCGCGAAGATCGGCGCCTGAATGCTCGTGCTGCCGCGCGCTAGTTTGCGCGCCTGGGTTGCCGTGCGGCCAGGCGCTCGGCGTTATACGCTGTTACGCTTATGTGGCATAAGGCAGGACGCCACAAAATATATATAAAAATATATACATGGTTTTGTACAAAATATACAATAAACAAAATATACATTTATTTATAACGGTATCCGATAATGTCCCCACGGTAGCGTGTCGGTGATATTGGGTACGATATATCACCAGTGTTCCGATTAGGGATTCCATGCGCGCGCATATGCGGTTCTGCGCGACTTTTGAAATTACATTGTACTTTCACGGTCACGCAAATGCAGAACTGCACATGCGCGCACACGGAATCCCTAATCGGAACACTGTATATCACTTGTCGTCGTACGGAATCAGAGCAATTTTCGCCTCACGGATCGTGTATACTTGATGCAGTTTAGATCGTATACACGACTGCTGACGCGTCATTTCAATCTCTTCGTTCAAGCACCGCGTGTAATCGTCGAACGTTATCGTTCTCGCGACAACGTTGCTCTTGACGCCTTTAACTTTTTTCGTATTCTTTTTCCCATTCACTCGTAACGCGTACATCTTTGCTCTGAGTCCGACGAATTCGGTCATTATGGCACCGTTGTTTTTATCCATTAGACCCGGTACCTTTTTATTTACAAGCGGTATACCATACACATTGTCCACCGCATAATCGCTCGTGTCAAATCTAGCGATATCACACTTCATATTCTCATACACATCCGCGCATTCAAAAATTTAAACAATTTGAAATTGTATTACACGTAGTAATATTAATACTGTATGCGATGCTGTAAAAGTAATATTAAGTAACACGTAGTAATATTAATACTGTATGCGATACACGAGAGTGATGTTTTTAACAGCGAATCATTAATCGATTGTGAATTATTAACATGTACTGTAAATGATATTCTTTACGATGCATGCAATAAATAATTATTTTTATTCCATCTATGATTTTATTTCTTTCTGTTAGAGTTTTTGCGAGATTAACGCGGGAAGCAAGCGCGAAACCGGAGGATAAGAATCCGCAAGGAAAAAGAAAGAAGATAAATTAATCCGACGATAAGTCTAAGTCCTTTAACAATGATAGTCAGTTTATTATAAACAATTATAACACTAATTACACAGTCTTAAATTAATTATGCGAAACTGATTTCAGAATCCGCGAGCAACGGAGACGACTGATTTACTCCGCGAGCGACGGAAGAACGTTTTTCGTGATCGAGAGATAAGTGAGCGCGTCGAGTACCTTTCAGCCAAGAAGTGCCGTGTTCCGCGAGCGCGTCAATTTATAGTGGAGCCCTTTTCGAAAGATCCCGATTTTTCGTGAACTAATATAATCGTTCAAAACGAACGGTTAAGAATTTATTTATTTTCCTTGGATCTTTCGAGAAGGGCAAGCGCTGTTTTTAAATTGCGCTGACAAAGCGATATCGCGCTAACGGCTGCCAGGAGCGCCGAATGATCGCTTGGACCCTCGCTCTCTTTAGCGAGGGCGTTTTGAACATTTCCGCCCGCCTCGCCAAGAGCATTTGGCGAAAAAAAGAAAACGCTAGCGGAGGATATGTAGCTCGTCAGACGTTCCGAACTATTGCGATGGAGGCTCGTGATCTCCATGACCGTTGATGGGTAGCACGACGAGTTTCACGACGGGTCGTACCAACTCGGAGGCTGCGGTGCGCACTGTAACTACACGAACTTGACCATCCTCTCCGGGGTGGATTTTCGCGATACGCGCGAGTGGCCATTTCGTGGGTGGTGTGAGCTCGTTCCGGATAAGGCAAAGTCGGCCGACCTTGAAGCCCGTCTCTTCGCGCAACCACTTAGGACGGTGAGTAATGGAGTGGAGGTACTCCTTCGACCAGCGTTCCCAAAAATGGTCTCGCAGGAGCTTTTTTGCAGGAGCTGCCAGCGGGATAAGCGGGACGTTGGTTCATCCAGCAAGGACGGTTCGGGCACTGCAGTCAAGGCGGCTCCCACCAGGAAGTGTCCAGGCGTCAGCGCAGCCAAGTCCTCAGGGTCGTCCGAGAGTGCCTGCAGCGGCCGCGAATTAAGGCACGCTTCTACCTGAGTGAGGAAGGTACTCATCTCCTCGAACGTTAGCTTGGCGTCGGAGATGGTGTTTGAGCGACTTGACTGCGGCCTCCCAAATGCCTCCGAAGTGCGGCGCTGAGGGAGGATTGAACTTCCACTCGATCCTCTCGGAGGCGAGGCTGTCGATGATCCGGTGGCTTTCTGGCGTGCCCGCGGTGAAGAGGGCTGTCAGCTGGGAATCAGCTCCCACGAAGGTTGTCCCGCAGTCGCTTCGAAGGCTGCGACAGATGCCTCGGCGAGAGACGAACCGCCTGAGGGCCGCAAGGAAGGCCTCGGTCGTGTAGTCGGAGACTACTTCGAGGTGTACGGCTCTGGAAGCAAAGCAGACGAAGACCGCTACGAAGGCCTTGTAGGAGCGGTGTCCGCGCCCCTTGGTTGTGCGAAGTTGAATCGGCCCGGCATAATCGACCCCAGTGTGAAGGAAGGGCCTCGCTGGTACCACGCGCTCCCGTGGAAGATCGCTCATCAGCTGTTGTGGGGTCGCCGCCCGCCATCGCACGCAAGGAAGACATCGCAGCATAGCCTCCTTGACAAGTGCTCGACCCCGTGGAATCCAATACTGTTGGCGGATTAATGAGAGAGTGAGCTGCGTTCCGCCATGCAACGCTCGTTTATGGCAGTCGTCCACAATTAGCCGAGTGAGGTGCGAGCCCTTCGGCAGGAGGACGGGGTGACGCTCGTCATAGGCCAGGATGGAGTGCTTGAGTCGACCCCCAACTCGCAGGAGACCCTCGGTATCTAAAAAGGGACTAAAGCGAGCAAGTGAGTTCGATTTATTTAGGGCAAGGCCCTGACTTATTAATTTTAACTCGGCCCTGAATTTTTCAGATTGTACTCGCCGGATCCAACAAACTCGAGCTCTCTCTATCTCTTCTGCGGACAGAGTACTGGGGAAGCGCCGGTGAGTGCCAGTGGCCCGATCCTCCCTTACTCTCAGCCACCGCCGACACCAGGCTGTCACGCGTAGGAGCCTCTTCAGGGAGGAGAACCGCACCAGCTCGGCGGCCTCGCTCATCGGCGCTGCTGTGGCTTTGACGTGGACTCGGGTGCGCTTCTCCGGCAGGTGTTCTTCGGTGATGTGGCCGACGGCGGTCGGCCATGCGGTGGCGTCTAAGCTTAGCCAAGGCGGACCTTGCCACCACAGCGGATGGCTCAGCAGTTCTTTGGGGGAGAGACCTCGGGAAGCGCAGTCGGCTGGATTGTCCTGGCCTGGAACGTGATGCCACGCAGCCTGCGGAGTGGTCCTCTGAATCTCGGAGACGCGGTTCGCGACGTAGGTTTGCCACCTGGATGGGTGGCCGCGGATCCAGCCCAGCGTGACGGTGGAGTCCGTCCACAGGTGAAGTGGCGCAGTCAGGTCGAGGATTCCCAAGGCGTGTTTGGCTAGTCGGCAGAAAAGGACGGCGGCGCTTAATTCCAAGCGAGGTAAGGACACCTGTTTGAGCGGTGTGACCTTTGTTTTCGCGGTGACTAGGCGGACAATCCACGAGTCGTTTGACCATGTTTTCAGGTACACGACGGCGGAATATGCTCGTTCTGAGGCGTCGGAGAAGCCATGGACCTCGATGCGGGTGCAAGAATGACCCAGATTAATCCAACGAGGTACTCGGATTTGCTCGAGTACTGGTATCTGGGCGTGAAAGGTGATCCAGGCTGACGCGGAGGCGTCGTCGAGCGGGGCGTCCCACTCAAGTCCTTGAAGCCAAGTCGATTGAAAGGCAATCTTGGCGCGGACCACGACCGGTGCTAGCCAGCCGAGAGGGTCGAATAGCTGCGCCACCAGGGACAGCACGGATCTCTTGGTGACGGATGGCAGTGCGATGTGCCGGGTGGCGAAGGAGAAATCGTCCGTGGCGGGGTGCCACTGCAGTCCTAAGGTAGAGTGAGCCTCGTGTGGTCGCCAGTCACGGGTCTCGCGCTGCAACCGATGCTCCGGCGGGATGTCCCAGATCACCGCTGAGTCGCTGGCTGACCACTTCCGGAGAGGAAAGCCGCCCGCCGCAGATACTGGACAGCTGTTTGCACATCTCCTGGGTCTCCGCCATCGTCGCTGCTCCGATCAAGATGTCGTCCATGTAGACGTCTCGTAGGAGAACGACCGCTCCTAGAGGGTACTGCTTACCTTCGTCCTCAGCTAATTGCCTAAGAGCGCGCATCGCTAGAAACGGAGCACACGCTAGGCCGTAGGTCACTGTGCTCAGCTGGTACTCGGCAGGGCTGTCTTGCGGGGAATCACGCCACAGGATCCTTTGCAGATCCCTATCATCCGGGTGTACCAAGATCTGCCGGAACATCTTTTCGACGTCGGTGGCTAGACCGAAGCGGTGCCGTCGCCAACGGAGTATCACGTCGGCGAGCGGAGGTAGCAAGTTCGGACCCACCATCAAGTGGTCGTTGAGGGTTCTTCTCGAAGTAGTTGGCGTGGAGCCGTTAAAAACTACGCGCAGCTTCGTGATGACACTGTTCTTTCGCAGCACGCCGTGATGCGGCAAGTAATGCACCGGTCTGCGCGACGTGACGTCCGGAATCACGCGAGACATATGGCGCAGGTCCTCATACTGCCGCATGAAGTCAGCATAGAGAGCTCGAAAAGGAGCATCCCGAGCGAAACGTCTCTCCATGCTGAAGGGAACTCGTAAAGCTGTGGAGCGCGTTGCCGAGAAGTCTAACAGCGGGGCAACGACCGGCAGACGTACGACGTACCGACCGTCCGCGGACCGCGAATGTGTCTGGCGGAAAAAGTTCTCGCATTGCTAATTCACGGGCGAGAGAGCTACCGCGGCGTCGGGTAGTTCTTCTTGCTGCCAGAACCTTTGTACGAGAGCGCCTAGGTTTTCCTTGACCAGGCAGTGATGTGCTGACGCATGACGCGATGTGGACGTCGTACCGACGGCCCCAGACAATATCCAGCCCAGCGCCGTCTTTTGTGCCACAGGTTCCCGCGATTTTCCTTGTCGAAGTCCAGCCTGGAGGATCATGGCGTAGACGTCTGCTCCTAGAAGGATGTCTATGGGATCCGTCGCCAAGAAGTCCGGATCGGCGAGTTCCAGCCCATGGATGTGCGTCCACACTCGACGATCGGCCTTGATTCCGCCTTCATAAAGTGTGAGCCGGGGGAAGACCAAGGCGGCCACGCTTATTAAGGGCTCGTCGCGCAGGGAGCGAATCTGAAGAGTGACTTGACCGCGGGCGAGGCCCGTCTGCTTGCCGCCGATTCCATACACGGCGACGGAGGTAGGAGACCGACCCAGGCCAAGACGTTGGACCAAAGCTTCGGAAACTAGCGAGGACTCCGAGCCCTGGTCAACTAGAGCGCGTGCTGTGTGAGCGCGGCCGAACCGGTCCAGGACGCGAACGCGCGCGGTAGCGAGGAGAACTGTCGTTGTCGCCTCGACTTTGTGTTGCGCTAAGTGTGACGTCTTAGCGCTCTCAACGGACGGACATGCCTCGTGGAAGGTCGTGTGGTGACGCGCGCGACACGACGAACAAGTCTTTTGAGAAGCACACTCGCTTACCTTGTGCTTTCCTAGGCAGTTCAGGTACAAGTCGTTCGCCTCGACGTAACGCTTCCTTTCCTCCGCCGTCTTGCTCTGGTAGAGATCGCAGAACATTATATAGTGATCCTGACCACATAGGGAGCAGCGACCTCGCTTACCGTCCTGCTTACGTGTGTGAAGAGTGCGAGTCTTCTGTGTCGGACACGGATGCGGTTTAGAAGAAATGGCCTCGACCTTGACAGGCTGCAACGATTCTAAAGTGTGCAGCCGACGATCCAAGAAGAGCTGCAGTTTGTCGTACGAGGGTGGATCGTTGAAATCACTAATGAAATTCTCCCACTCGCAGCGAGATCGAGGATCGAGCAGGTCAACGACGACGTGCACAAAAAGATCTTCACCCTTCGTGATCGGGCGCCCAATGCTCTCCAGTGATCCTACAGTGCTCTTCACGCTGTGACAAAGTTTGCGCAGTTCCACCACGGACTCGTTCTTCAGCTTCTGGAGTGACGTGAACTGGGAGATGTAACTGCGCACCAGGAGCCGCTTGTTGTCATAGTAAGCAACGAGAACATCCCATGCGCGTTCGAAATTCTCGCTTGTCGTGGGCAGGCTTCGAATCAATAATTCTGCTTCTCCTTTCAGGCATGTCTTCAGATAATGGAGCTTCTCGACTCAGGACGTGAGAGTGTCCCTTCCGATTAGAGATTGGAAGAGATCACGGAAGGCTGGCCAATCCTCGTACTTCCCGGAGAAATGGGGCAGCTGGATCCTCGGAAGAGTCGTGCGGGATGCTTGTGAGGACGGCTCTAACCCTTTCGTGCCAGCTTCCTTTTCTTCCGTCTTGAGGTTACGCAGGAGGTTCAACAGCAGACCTTTATTGGCGAGGTAGGCCTCTTCAGCCAGAGCAGGTATGTCGAGTCTTATGTACTCTGAATCGGCCACTTGGTCGAGATAATTCAAAAGCTCATCGTTGTGCGCGTCAAACTTAGTCCAGTACCTTTCCAAGGACTGCAATCGCGCCTCCACTGCGCCCACCGTGATCTTGGCAGCGCCCAGCTTCATCAGGTTTTCGTGAGTACGGGCAATTTTGCCGTAGAGATCCGTTGCGGCGGTGATTATCAACTCGGCCTTGCGACTCATGATGACTGAATTTCAGGTGACTGGTCTTCAGAGCACAGAGAACCACAACACTTCGCACTCACTCCGCGTCATAGAAAAAACCGGTCACTAAATATCCGGCTCGAAGGACCAGCAAATGTTAGAGTTTTTGCGAGATTAACGCGGGAAGCAAGCGCGAAACCGGAGGATAAGAATCCGCAAGGAAAAAGAAAGAAGAGAAATTAATCCGACGATAAGTCTAACAAGGAAAGGGTCGGAAGTGTCCCCCTCCGATTTTAATGAGCTTTGAATATGTTGTAGTCTAGATCAAAATAGGAGACACGTATTTTTTTATAAGTGCTGAGTCGGCCGTTAAGGGGGTGAAACACCTTCTTGAAAAAAATCGATTTTTTCATTTCTCAGCGGATACCGTCGAAGCGATAAGAGATATAAACAAAAGTTTCAAATAAAAGTTTTATGGTCTTTAATGTACTTCAAAATCATGTAATCAGATTTGTCGAAAATGTCATATTTTTCGAAATCCCCCCCCTCCCTTTTAATGTTTGAAAATTTTTAAATTTGTCTCATAACAAAACTTATAGCTCATTTAACGACAAATTCAATCATATATAATAAAGTTGTATTCCGAAGTCACATTTTTCAGAAATAAATTAAAAATATCCCTATACACTACTATACGCCCGCTTTATCCGCCTTATGACGCTCGTTATTCACAGCGACAGTCATTTTTCTTCGCAAACTCACAGAGGCAACCATAAATTAGCAATAAATAATTTATGAGAATATATTTTTATAAATTATAGAAATTATATTTATAAATATAATTATAAATTACATAATAATTATAATTATAATATATGTCTATATTATGTGACAATAAATATACATATAATTTATATGGAAAAGTAATGTTTTTAATGCATGAAAAATAAAACTAGTCGGACAAGGAAAATTATTGATCAGATGCCGATGTTAATAGATTCAATTCTATGAATAAACAGATGTCGCATTCGCGAAATGAGTTGGTGCAATATATTATTTTATTAACAACTGCGTGCAGTGGAACACATATTACTATTAAAGCGTCTATCGAATATACGCGAGCGCGATAGTAAATATATTTATATATATAAGAAAATAATTAAAAGGATTATAACTTATAAAGCGAGCGAAAAAATGCGTCGCGATAAGAAAGTCAGCTGCCCGAAGTGCTGATACAGCCAGTATCACACGGCCAAGTCATCAAACAGAGGAAGAAATCACTCTCGAAATAGCGCTGAATTGCAATAAAATGCGAGGAAGTCTTCGGACTTCCTTCGCTTGCATTTTGATCACGCCACTTTAGAAATAACCAATGATTTTATTTGGTCATGCCACCGCGCGATCCTCCTCCGATAATCGTTCAGAACCGGAGGCGTTAAAAGCCACCGCCTAGAAGCGGCGGACAGTCACAAATCAGTTATCAAATAATTAACAAGTGCTCGAGTTAATTAACAAGACTAGCCGTTATCCTGAAAAAACAATTGTGCCCCACGCACACAACAATACAGTATGTATGTACTTTTTCGATTTTTAAAACTTTTATAGTTTTTTGCTTTTACTTACACTTCATTCAAAATTGCGGTTTATCTGTTTTGTTTTAATGTATTTAAATTATAATTAATATTTTATTACTTTATTTAAGTTATGTGATAAAACTGTTCTATTTTTCATGAAACTCGGAAAACGTAACAAATTATTAATACGCATTAAATAATAAAATATTTTTGTTGCTAATAAGTATTTTTTTGCTAATATTTATAAAACAAATATACATAATGTTAATAATTTTTTTAGATAATGTTTAATCCAAGAAATGTAGCAGTACTGCTATACACTGCACTGTATATGACTGGGGAATTCCCAGAAAGTCCTGTTACAACAGATGAAAATGAAACAAAAGACATGATGGAAAATATGCTTCGATCAATGTATGAAGAAGCGTTTGAAGTTTATGAAGAATCATCATTAGATTTTCAAAACGAATTTGATATACCTGAAGTAGAACCTGTAATTGATGAAGAAAGAGAAGAAGACACATATTTTGTAAAAGAAATTGAATGTGTTGCGGATTCTGTACCAATAGAATATAAAAGAAATGCAGTAGAGTTATGGAGAAGTGGAACAAAAAAGTCAAGAACTCTTGCATCTATAAGAAATAGATTTCGGAAAGTCACGTCATTACGTCAATTAAGAAGATGGGAGCAGCAAGTAAATCAAGGTGGCAACAGATTTGATAAACTGAAAGAAATTTCAACATATACGTTAAATAAATTCCATGAAGGTATTGAAAAGGGAATAATTATTCATGACATTGATATTGCTCGATGGGCTCTTCGCGCACAGAAGGAAGTAAATCTACTTGGGTTTACAGCATCATTATCATGGGTAAAAAGGTTTAAGCTTGCACATAATATCGTATCTAGAAAAATTACAAAATTTATAACAAAAAAAAATTTAGCGTCAGACAAAGATTTAGAAGCACGAAGCAAGTCATTTATCGAAAATGTTAAATCTTCTATTATACAATATGGAATTGAAAATGTATATAATTCGGACCAAAGTGGATTTCAATTAGAATTTCATTCCGGTCGTTCACTATCACCTATTGGTATTAAAAAAGTAGAGCGCATAGTACAATCCATATCAGCAACTACACATAGTTATACTATACAACCTATTGTTTCAGCTGATGGTAGATTATTATCGCCTCTGTTTATTGTTTTAAAAGAACCTACTGGAACATTTGGTCCAATAGTAAAAGAAACAATGTTTAAAGATAATAATATCTTTGTCATGGCATCAAAATCTGGAAAATTAACATCGCATCATTTTGAGATCTGGATAAAAGAAGTGTTTTTTCCAAATGTTGGACCAAAATCAGTGTTATTATTAGATTCTTGGACTGGTCA